TTTGTGTGTGGTCAGAGAATCAGCGGAAAGAGTGTGTTTTGATTATTTGACTTAGAGATATTTATACTTACAATGAGTTAGTTAAATAGAATAAAAATAGCTTGAATATAGTACTTATTATATTACCCAAATGAAAATATACTTATTTTTTTAATTGATTAATAAACTTGCAATCTAGCCTGGCTACAAATATTCAAAAAAAAAATTAATAATTAAAAAGAAAATTCTAGAAATTATTCTTTTTCAAAAGTTATAAGTTCTTTGGAAAGATATTCAAGATATTAAAAAACAAAAGATGAATAATATGGATTATAAAATCTTATCCTTTTTAAGTTTTTTAGGTAATAAAAAAACTTTTTTGATTAAAAGCTAAGGTTTTGAGTTTTTTTTAAGCTAATTCAATTAAATACTTGTTTAAATAATAAATCTAGTTGAATTGATTATTCAATATTATAGATAGCAATAAAAAAAATTTTTTTTTGAAATTCAATAAAAGCAAGAAGAATATTCAAATCAGGCAAATTTCTTTTAAGAAAAGATTATTTTTAGTTAATAAACTTTTTTGAAGAAACTTAAATTATATTCTTTTTCTTTCTTTTTCTTTTTCTTCTTATTAATTTAACAATTTATAGTTTTTGAACAATCTATAGTAATAAACTATTGATAAAAAACTTAAAGGATAAATAAATACTAATCCTTTAAAGAAGTAAAATATTGTTTCTTAAATCTTATTTAAAGTACTTTGATATAATAATAAGTTAGTTATTATATAAAAAATTTGTAATATTATATATAATTATATAAAGTTTTCAATAAAGATTAAGCTATATGGTATAGTTATAACTCTTTCTACTAATTCTCTGATCATACATAAAAAAAAATATTTATAAGAAGTTTTTATATTTCTTGACTAATAAAATCTTTTTACTTTTCTTAAAACAACTTGAAACTTATTTTTAAGAGTCACTATTATTTTCCCTTACTTGTTTATAAACTTTTTTAATAAAAACTTGAACTTTTGATAACTTAAATAGACTCAAGTATGTATTTTCTCTACTAAAGATAAGAAGATTTTAGGAAAATAAAAGAAACAACTGATAGAATGTTATCTCCTAGAGCTGGATATGATATAGAGATAGAGGTTTTCTAAGTAAAGAAATGCTTATTATCCATTTTATCTTATATTGTTTCTTGTCCTCACATCATCTAGCTTTTAATTGATTGATATGAAATATATTGATAGCAAAATATAAACAAGGTTTTACTGATTATATTCATGTGTTCCAATAAAATTATTGATAAAAAAAGAAAAATCAAGGATATGAACTTCTTCATATCTCCAAATGAAGTATAACTGAAGTAAGGAAATTATGAAATCATTAGGATAGATATTAAATTTCCTAATTGATGAAAAGATGATTATTTGTTCAAGCTGAGACCTTCAATTTCTTATTATTCTGATTAGGCAAAATATACAAAAGAGATTATTTTCTTTTCTCAGTCAGGCTATAAGACTGAAAAGTAGAGAAATATAAAATATTGTCCTTTTCCAGAATTGAGAATAAATTTCCTCAGATATTATATAATAATATCACAATCAAGATAAATATTAATAAAATTTCTTTAATTATATATAACTGCTAGAAAATATTGAGAATTATATAACAAAATCAAAAAGTCATATAAAAACTTGAAATTCACTATTAGTTATTTTCTTTTATATGAGTGGATATAAAATTAAAACTAAAAAAAAGGAAGCATTGAGCAGAATACTGAATTTAAATAGGCAATAAGTACTTTAGATAGTTATAAAAAAATAATCAAGATCACAAATAAACAAGTTTTTAGATTATTAGAAAAAAGAAAAATATTCTAGAAGGGTTGATTTCTAATAAGAGGAGATTTCTTATAGAGGTCCTTTAAAAGACATAAAACACTTTTATTTTTATGTAGTACAATTGTGCATTTTTAGATATTCCCCCTTTTTTTTTTCTTTTATTTTTCCTTGTGTAATTTCTTGGATTAGTTTTTAAAAGATAATAAGCTATACCAATTTACTAGTAATAATGGGTAAATTAGGAGAGTATTTACATAAAATCTATCATGGAGTGAAATATTGTTTTCAAGGTCATACTTAGAGACTGAAGCTCTTTTGAGAATTGAAAGCCATTGATGAGTGAGTCAGTACAAAATTTAGTTTAACCATAATACAATTGCCTTATGTATCTCTACTGATTTTTATAATGATTAATGAACACACTGTGCTGGCCTAACCACAGGTAGTTAAAAAAAAAAAAATTAAGCCAGATGGCATAGTTATAGGTTAAAAAAAAATCATTATAAACATTAATATTTTAGATATTAGCAAAATAATGATTCCATTCAAAGAAAGGATGTTCGTGAAACCAATGAAACCATAATATTGTTTAACTATAGTATTTTCCATCTTTACAGTACATTTACTGTCGTTATCAATCAAACACCTTTTAGTTTACTTTCCTCGCAGCTCGAGGCTTATCAAGCAAAAATAGATGGATTAAATCATAGCATTCAAACCTTTCTGAAGTTAAAGGATTAAACGATGGCCTAGGAATTAATATCTATACATATACTGTATATGAAAGTTGATTGTTCTTTTAATAAGTTTTATTATTTACAGTATATCGTAAACATTCCGTCGTGAAATTTTTTATTTTCAGTCATTTCTTTTATAATTAGCTTTTCTAAAAGATGGACGATGAGGGTGTTTGACTAATATTGCTTCATGAGCACTTCTGCCCTAACCATCTAGGATTCCAATAAATTATATCATTCGAGCTTCTTCTGGTGCTGACTTATGCGTTTTTTCATCATCGCCAACCCCGACTCATTGAAATCTACAACCCAATTGAGTAATCTCTTTATATCTGACAAATCCCGTTCGCCAGGGATGTTTTTTCTTCTCGGACATTAGACTTTTTATCATCAATTGTACCCTGAACGGCGATGCGAATCTTTCACCTGATTTGCGTATCAGAAATTAGTCGGAGGATTCCTCACTGTAAACAACCAGAATTAGCATATATGTCTTACGTTTGACTTGGCCCTCTTTTCCACGAATCTTAAATATTGACATAAGTATGAACTCTTTTTTTTTAATTATAGAAAAATAAAGATTTCTTGCGCATCGAAATAAAAATAAAAGCTACCCGGGTCAAAATTTCCTTTGCTTCTTGCAGAAATTTGACAGTTGGTCACTGCCGTTTCGGCCGTCTGAATATAAATTTCTGCCGTATCGAGTCAAGCAAGTATCTCATGAATGTCCTCAAGAAAATTTTTCGAAAGTAAAAGTAGAGTTTCGTAAAGCGATAAGCGACATTGCAGAGGTTATCAGAAAGGACATTTGGGTTTGCAGCGTATCTCTGGAGTATCAAACTTTAATAATTCATCGCCGAATAAAAAAAAAAAAAAAAGAAATGAACTTATCGCGTTTCGAAGGATCACGAGATTTATCCGCAGTAAACGGGAGTGGCGTCACGCAACCCATATCCGTTATTATTATTTTTAGTTAAATAAAAATTTTTTCGCACAATAGTACGATAGTATTATGCGGGAGCCAAACGATGCTTCTCAGATTAGTTAATATAAGATAAATGGTATCATTTACTGTATATACTGCACATGCTAGTTATCTTAGTATTTCTTTATACTCGATATCTGAATCATCTACATGCTTCCTGACACGTTTCTTCTCATGACGTAATTTATTTAACTGATAAACACATGTAATAAAAGATGGATTGCCTAAAAATGTCTATCAGTGAACGTGTACCATTGTTAAAACTCGAGAATTACAGATTTTTCACACACACGTAGTTATTACGTTATTACGCAAGTTAGGGTCGCACACAGGAGTTGTTTATTTTCATTATTTTCAGATGCCTAATACACGTTGCACCTGCAAAAAAAAGATATAAAAGAACGTATAAATCCGACTCAATTTTTTTTTAACATTCTCTAAAGACATCAATCATGCTCTATCAATCGTCACGCACTATCATTCAATATGCACTATCAATCAATTCGCACTATCAATCAATCATCAATCACCATGCGTTATCAACTACCACGCTCTACCGAAACTAAAAAGTTCTTCGCGATCGAGGCATATAGGGTGGCATGTCGTGAACGTCCTTTGTCTTTCAAGGTGATTATCGTCACTAAATAGTTGTTGAGTTTTTATGTACCTGAAGTTACGCTGCCTCAAGTTCTTGGTGGCCTTTCTCTTCGAAAAGCTCCTAAGTGGCCTGTGGTGAATAGGGTATATGAAGGGTAACGGAGGTCGCGAACACGTGGGGCGACGTGGGCGAACGTCCTTGCCGATTCTTGAAAATTATGATGCAATTGTTTACCCTCATTTTTTTTAGAATCTTTAGGTAAACCCGACGTTAATAAGAAGACAACAAAAGACCTGACATTAAAGTGCAGCTATTGGATACGACACAATAATTCGGCAAGGTAATTATTTTTTAGTGTTTAGATTTAAGCTAAAAATATAGTCTCACTCGCAGACTATTCTTCACGTTAATAGTAATATAGCATCGGCAATGCTACCGATTTGATTTTTTTTAAAAAAAAATATCCAATTAGAAGTTATTATAACATTTTCGGTTAACTTTAGCAGTCATAGTCTACCTAATGTGATTATACTGTAAATCACAGCGAGACATTTGTAATTTATTTATTAAATAATAGTCACTACAATAAAAAGTAAAGAAATATGTATGCATATACTGTACTTAAAGGTATAATTAGGGATAATGCATTAATTTGTCTTATCTATTATATGAATATACTTTTTTTTGTAAAAAAATTTTTCTATTCGAGATAATGTTACAAAAAACGAAAGGATTTAAATCGAGAATTGTTGTAATAATGAAATTGAAATTGAAAACTAGATAAATCTAAAATACACAATCGTTGGCGCGTTATTTTTAAAGTCTCTTATTAAAATAAAACGGCTATGAAAAGTATTGAAATTGTAGTCCAACTGAACGAATTGGAGATAACCCTGGTTTTAAATCCGCTATTAATCCCAGACCAAACAACGTTTTACCATAACGCCCTTCCCATAACAGCTTAATTCCCTAAGAATGTCAACAAAATCGCATTAACTTGAATACGATAAGATAAATATTTATTAAAAAGTTTGACAAACCCACATGATTAGTGCTAATTGTAGCTTTAACAACACCTTGAATTTCACCATTAGAATTTGATGTCTCGTCTATTTTTTCTCTTTGCCACCACTCTGCTCCAATCATTAAATCACTCTCGTAACTATACATGTTGAATCCAAATCGTGGACATAAAGACAGATCATTCGATACTTGTGCAGCAAAAGCAGCAGACATATGACCCATTATTGGATTAATTATATAAGTCACCGTAACCGGTGAATGTAGAGAATATTGCGGAAGTGTGCGATAACGAATCCCTGTCGACACTGATGTGGTGAATTTTTCTCGTTACGTCAAAACGATTATTTCTATAAAGTTGTTCTCGAATTAGGAAAAGGCTTATCCT